TTTTAGTGACGCTGTCATTTATTATTTATGTGCGATATTTCAGATACAAATAATATGAATACAATCCTTTTAAATCAAGTACTCACCAGCTCTCCCCATTCAGTAACACGATCTTTGGCCACATGCTTGATGGCAACCTAAAAATTGTAAATGAATGCATTATTAAGCAGTGAATGGCATTATATTTATATATGTCATACACACACGTTATGAACATGCGAAACGTTCACACGTGTGTAAACAACAATAACGTTACTCTATTCAGGAACCTACCGGCGCGCCATCGGCGATCCTCAAACCCGCATACACCGTCCCAAAACCGCCGCTTCCCAGCACAGAGCCGACCTGATACACCTTCTCGAACGGCTCTTTCTCCTTAACTGTCGATAAAAGATACGGTAGGTGCGTAAGAATTGATAAAAGACGTACAATTATTTAATAATTGGAAATCTGACGCACGCGCTATTCCCAACACTCAGTCTGCTGACGTGAACTAGCCCAAGACCACAACACACACACACACACACAACACACACACGCGCGCGAGAATAACCGTCCTCTAACCTTGAAGCTGGATTTTCGCCGGCATGTCCACGGTGGAAATGTGAGCGAATGTGTTGAATTTTGATAGAAGCATTCTATAATCCCAAAGGAGAGTATTTCTTGAGGGTTATTCCAATGTTGAGGTCGAAATCCGTCGTGTAGAGATGGATGTAGGGAAGGTCTAACGTTACTTGAGGGATCCGGTCTAGAAGCCTGTAGAAATCCTTTCTCATCGAGGCTCGATGGGTTTTGATTCTCAAGACGAATTTTAAACGACCGCACAAGGTCTATTCCAGTTTCGAATATGAAATTAAATAAACAAACGAATAATATATTTCGAAGATAAATATTATTGTCTGAGGTGCTCGACGGACACAAACACCCGGCTTTCTAAATCGTGAGGGAGGGGCAAGAGCCCTTATATACCAGTTGTAAAAGAGAGGCGTGGCTGCTGGTACGTCAATGGTGGCTCCGCCCACAAATACGATTCAGCCAATGAGTAATGCGCCTGCCTCTGCAGAAAAAAGTCAGTCAAATATGAAAATAAAGGAAAACGTAGACGTGGCGGGAATCAAAACGCGCCAAATAGTCGAGGCTTTTTTTTGAGGGCGTTTAGTCGGCGTGGGGCAGACAGGGAGAATGATTCACATGGGCCATGGCTGAGTGTATAACAAAGCCCCCATTGCAGATTCGGAGTATTATTTCAGAGAAGTATGAAGAGTACTACAAAATAGATGCATGCTTCATACATAGACATTAATATGTACAAATGCATATTATATACATATATATACACTTATATAATATAAAATATATATATTTTTAGGTATAGACAGACAGATCAAAAGAATCTGACTTTAGTACAGTGACAATATAACAGTACATTTGAACCTGGACCACAAAACCAGTCACATTTTTTGAAATTGAGATTTATATACATCATCTGAAAGCTGAATATACAAGCTTTCCATTCATGTATGGGTTGTTAGGACAGATACAACTATTTAAAAAACTGGAGTCTGAGGGTGCCAAAAAAAAAAAAAATCTAATTATTGAGAAAATCGCCTTTAAAGGTGTCCAAATGAAGTTCTTAGCAATGCATATTGCTAATCAAAAAGTATGCTTTGATATATTTACGGTAGGGAATTTACAAAATATTTTCATAGAACATGATTTTTACTTACTATCCTAATGGTTTTTGGCATAAAAGAAAAATCGATCATTTTGACCCATACAATGTATGGTTGGATATTGCTACAAATATAACCATGCTACTTAAGACTGGTTTTGTGTGGTCCAGGGTCACAAATGTGCAACTTTAAAGTTTTCCTTGTATTTTGCATTCAAGGAACACAATCGGCTCACATGTTCAAAGAGGAAGAAACACCATGTAAAAAGTATTCTGCAGTGTAATGCAAGCCACGTTTTCCTTTTCTGTACATAATGCGTCATCATCCCAATGGACAGCACTTTTGTTTTTGTTCCAGTCATGTGAAGTAGGTCTACAAAGTGCATATGAAGACCGCATGCACTGCATTACCTCATTAATCTCAAATTAGCGTGCAAAGATTTGTTTCTCCTATTGGCGGGCAACAGGCTGAGAACAATGCCAGACGCTATGGAAATGAGGTGCATACCAGGCATTCTTTCAAATTGGGTGGCCGGTTTTAAACTCGGCGGCAGGATGTGGGAAACTTGAGATAAAAGACTCACAGACCCATCCCCCATGTCTCTTGTCCTCTCTTTCCCGCGCAGATTATTGTTTGAAAGGCACTTGCTCTCCCCATCTTCTGTGTTTTCCCCGCCCTTTGGATATACGCCTAAACATCAACGAAAAAACTGATGTAAACCTATATTATGGGGGTTTCACACCTGGTCACTTCATCTTTACTCATTGTATAGTTAAGTAGTAACTATACCAAGTACCAAGTGTAAATGCCCTCAAAGACCCATTTGAGATGTATAGTAATCTGATCCCTCAGGAGCTGGTTTCAAATACATACAAAGAAGCAACTCAGCCAAGTGTAAATGCATCTGCTTGTTCAGGCCGCATATGTAAACTTTACTCCTCCCAAACAAAACAGCATCAGTATATAGAAGTTTGGGACATGTGGATGAGACACATGGATGGAGCAACTAAAAAAAAAAAAACTCAAAACATTAATTGCTATATGGGCTGAAGAGGGAGTTTAACAGAATTTTGTTGCCCAGCATTAGCATCATCACGGAAGTGAACTGTTATATTTGCAAATAGTGTGGGAAGGTTGTATTTATATCTGTTCTGCGGAGACACATTTACATAGCCAAGTGTAAATAGAATGTGCATATCCAATCAGATAGCAATTGATCAAAACACGTGAAGTGACTAAGTATTTTTAACATATAACATGCAGCATTTTTTGAATGAGCAGTTCAAAAAAAAAAAAAAAAGCTCATTATGCTGCTTGATATTGCCAACTGGTATGTCTTATAATACCATTTAAATAGTATCATAATTATAAACACAGGTTTGTCATGCAAACAGTTTTACCGTCTACTGCACTTTGTTATTCTTCTAGTCGTTTACCTATAGCAGCTAATGAATTGGAAGTCTTGAACAAAGAAAATAGCTTACTTCTGCATTGAAATATATGGTGGATATTGACTCCAAATATATTTAAACACTTAAGTCACACTTAATGAATTTAAGAATATCATTGCATTCGATAACAAATTACCAATATTGCACCATTTTTAAAATGTTATACATTTTCATATATGATATAATATAGATCGATATTTCAATTATACATTTTAAAAATAAATATGTAAAATAGTTTATTTAATACTATGACATTCATACTTTTTAAAGTGTGACTTCTGTCCCCAAATAAGGGTTATTATTGTTAACTAAAACTATTAAAAACATTTGCTAATTGTAAATAAAGCTGATAAAATACAAAACACTAGATGAAAAGCGTAAAACTTGATGAAAATGAGAAATGTTGCCTTAGCTACAAACTTAAATAAGTTTAGGCACTAAAATTACTAACTGGAAATAAATAAACACTGAAAGAAACTGAAATAAAATGATTAAATAAATAATAAATGAATGATCTAAAATGGCAAACAAAACTAATAAAACAACCTGAAAATATTATTAAAATCTATATTAGTATATAAATAACACCAAAATAACACTGCTCCGGTCACAGTACAGAAGGAGACCAGGGACGGAGAGGTAAAGTAAACAGAGCTTTATTGAACAGGTGCTGAGAGAGAGAGAGAGAGAGAGAGAAAACGGGTTAGAGCAGCGGTGGCGAACTCCAGTCCTGGAGAGCCGCAGCCCTGCAGAGTTCAGCTCTAACCCCAATTAAAACTCACCTGCCTGTAGCTTCCTAGTAACCGTTCAGACCTTGATTAGCTTGTTCAGGTGTGTTTGATTAGGGTTGAAGCAAAACTCTGCAGGACCGACGTTCGCCACCACTGTTCTATGGAATGGAAGGGAATGGAAGGGATCGGATCGGGCTGACGAGGATGGCGTCCAGGTTCAGTGAGTCAGGTAAAGAGTAGCGTAGTGAACTCAAGACCAGACAAAGTGTGACTGCAGTGGCTGTGCATATAAACTAGTGCTGATGAGGTGGTGACAGGTGTGGCTGATTAGTACTCCGGTGATTGTGAACGGGTGTGTGAGAGGATTGGGCCTGACGAGGCTGGACTCTCCCTGACAGCTCCAAATACGTTGTTGGCCTGCTATGCTTATAGTGCCATTATTCAAATTAAACCATTTGCTCAAATGACCTTGTGTTTAGTTTTAAAACAGCTCTGTTCCATAAAACTTCGCTCACGTTTTCCCTTCCGTTACTTCTCAAAAAAGCCAGTGAGTCATAAATTTGCAGATTAATGTGTGTGATTCATAAGTTCGCTTTTGTGCTTGTGTGGTGTTTCTTTTTTTACCCAGAATCCTGTTTTTGTTCAGTTCAATCACAATGCTGGCGCTCCGTTTTGATGACTCAGAGATCTGAGCTCTCTTCTAGATGAAGATATGCACGACTCCCCTGGAGAGCAGAAACGAAAAAATACTCAGAAATGCCTTGCTAGAAAGAAAATCATGGAAATAAAATCAAATGCATAAATAAATAGAACTTCAAGGAATGACGGATAACCAAACACCGTTTGATTACTATCATTCAGGCAGCAAATTAGAGTGCTTTATGCATGTCAGAATAGTGCCTTTTTCTTCACATCCACATTAAGTCTTGTACATCATCTTCTTACAATGCACCGCTAGCCCCCAGCGGGACTCGCTCAGGCTGATTTAATAGAGCTGGTTTAACGGCTGTGGCCTGCTATAATGAGTCACCTTCTCCGTGCACTTCAGCGCTGATTATGGGCCGCGCTTAGGTAAGAGCGAGAGGCGCTCTGAAATGGAGACGCAGTGGGGGTCTATGTAATATAAAGCTGTATGAAGGTATGACGGCACTGACGTCTATGGCTGCCTGCTCAGCAGAGGAGAGAGTGACAGCCGCCCGGTGACCCGGCTCATCTGACACGAACAGTGCTTGCGCTTTTATTAGCCCACGATGATAAAGACGACTCAAGTGCTAGTTTGAAACTTCAGACTCCATTCCTCCAGTGTGCAAACCTGCTTCTCCACCCCTGAGAATCTGATTGGAGGAAGGGGGACCATGGAAAAAACCATGAGTGGACTTCAAAGCCATGTGGGAAAGGCTACCGAAGAGCAGGGGTTTTCACGGGGTCAACTTTCATGCTGGCAAAAACACGAGGTCAGAGGTCACTGACATACCTGTTCAGCATTCCACGGCCCTCCTTCAGGAAATGACCCTCACTTGTCTCAATTTGGGGGGCCACCTCAAAGCAGAGCTTGGCTTATGCACAGCCCAGGATTAAATCAGGGCCAGAGATGGGTGAGTGAGATGCATTTGCTTCTGAAATGTTTGTCCGGATTGTTTGGTCTTGGTTTGAGCCTGTAAGAAAATAACGCCAGCCAACTGCAGAAGATAACGGATATGACTCATTCCATATCAAAATTAACATGCTGAATCATTGGGGGGCTTTAAATATGCAGCTAAAATGGAAAACACTGCTGTCAGTCCTCTCCATAGGAAAGGAAAATGACAAATCACTTTAATAATGGTTTCTTCTAGACAGCAATGGGATTAAATGGAGAATTTTGATCAAGTTTCCGGCTCCTCAGATTTTTTATTTTTTCAATGGAAAATTGATATCTCATTGATATCTCAAACTATGATTTGCCAAAACATTAAAATTAACATGAACTGAAATATTTTCATAAAAATTTCCCAACTCTAAATTAGGCTATGCTGTTGTAATTAATTTATGAACTC